AGCCTCCTCCCACTGCAGATGTGTCTTCTGTTTTCCCCTGACCAGATCTGCCACCTGAAATGTGAGGATCATGGAGGAAAGAGTTTTCAGGTGGCAATGCCTTCCTCACACAACATTTTTGGAATTGGGGAGGGGATCTGCCACCTGAAAATGCTTTCCTCCGTGATCCTCATGGGTGTCAGAAGAGCGGCAAGAGCTTGGCACCTCCTGAGGTGGTTGAACCTTCTCCGCTCGCAACATCATAGCCCTGAGGGCATCGTTGGCAGCCGCTTCCTGAAGGTCAGGAGGTGTGCGCTCTCCCCGCTGCTGCTGCTTCGCCTGAAAACACTTTCCTCCACCATCCTCATGTTTTAGGCCAAGCAGCATCAGTGGGAAGAGCATGAGAATGGAGCTGCTCTTTTTTCCACTAGCGTCTCTGAGGCACCTCTCATTTGCAGGAGGAGGAGGAGGAGGACGGCATATACAAAAGCCTCTGAGTAACTGGAAAAGAAAGCAGTGCTTGGAATCTGCCGAAAACCACCACATGAAAAACACGGCTTTCTTTCCCAATTACTCAGAGGCTTTTGTATATGTTGCCCTCCTCCTCCTCCTGCAAATGAGAGGTGCCTCAGAGATGCTAGATTTCTCTGGATGCTAGATTGGGATGTTAAATACCTGGAATGGGGTACAATCAAACTGGATTCAAAAGCTTTGGCTTTGGCTTGCTGCACTGCCACCCACAAATGCTGTTACAGTGATGTCTGCAGAGCCTACTTAACTTGCCCCTTCACGGGCAGTTCCAGGTGTCAGAGATCGCAGTAACAGCCTTTTGAGGTGGCAGCGAAGCGATCTAAGGAACTTGATTGTATCCCATTCTGGGTTTTTAACTTCCCAATCTAGTGCCCTTAGAAAAGCCTTGGTGGAGAGGAGACTGTTCCTCTTCTCTTCCTCTACCCCTACCTCCAATATGCCCATAACTGTCATGCACCAAAGTGATATGGTAGCTGGGAGCCTGGTACTTGCTTTTGCACCGAGACTAAGGAAGCGGGGTTGCAAAGAGGGCTGTGAACAAGCCTGGATTTTCAAGGAGGCAGTTTTGCCAGGTCATATTTTTTGGGCTTCCCTTTTGCTGCTCAGGCACCACCATGAGGAACTGTTAATCCAAGTGGAAGGGATCCCTCCTTTCCTGGCCCAATGGGCTGTTCCCAGTTGAGTGCAGCAGTGGCCATTCAGCAGCCCCCACGTGTCTTTCTCTCCTCACTGAAGAGAAGAAGCGAGTGGACTGTCGCTCCTTGGGCCAAGCAGCTCTGTGTGGTCGCCCATCAGAGGGAAAAAATAAAGCTCAGAGAGATATGTTTAGTCCTGCCCTGCCGTGGGAAGGGATAGAGCAAAGCGGATTTGAGATAGATAAAAGCCTTACTCTTTAGGATGATTGAGCCCCCACACATTGCGTTTTTGCTCTCCCTGACCCCCAGAATAAGGTGACCAGAAGTCCCGGATTTGGCGGGACAGCCACGCTTTTTGATACATTTTCCCGCGTCCCGCACGCTTTTTTAAAAGGCACGCTTTTTTGGGCACTCGCAGCTCCCGCCCATCAGCTGCTAGCTTG